CCCTGAATCAAGCCAAGGGCAGTCCTCTTCTCTGGACCCATCTTAAAAAACACTATGTCTAAGTAAGAAAGAAAGAATAAAAGAACTGTTTTCATTCACAAACTGAATTTTACTCCTTTATCTTCAGAGAGCACTGAAATATATTGCTGTTTCAGAGGTATTAGGCTGTTAATGTGTAAAGGTTACCAGGTTATAAAACTTAAAGGCTCATGTACCTAGTTGCTGTTTCAGCAATGTATCAGGATAGACAGGTTTCTTAAACATCTTTTCTTTGCAGAATGAACAGATAACTAATTTTAAGTGACAGTATATGCTTTATTCTGTATAGAACAAAGAATACTGCTTTATGAGAACAGTGAGGATTATCTAAATTAGTCCTAAGACTGTGTGTGGGTGTCACTTTACAGCTTTCTTCTTGCATCTTATACTGCACTTAAAGAATACTTAAGATAAAAAGCCTACAGTAAATATGCCCACAATTTCATGGTTTTCTTGAGGTAGCTGAGGCTAGAAAAGAAAATCCATGTGATTGAGGTTGTATCTTCTTCCCCTAAATGATGTGTTAGGAAGACTTAAGTACAAAGAGCATATGCTTCTGCAGTGTTGTAAATAATTGGCCCATCATGGGGTCTTTGAAGGCTACAAGTCCATTTGTAACTGCCCCACTTCATAAAAATGAATTTTGAGGAGGGAGAAGATACAAACTACATTCAGTCCCACTATCTGATCACTCAGTGACAGCAACTGAGTCCTTGTGTCCTATCATACATTTGTCCATGTGTCATACCATCAGTTGATAGTACTTTAATTTAGGAGAATGACAGATCTTCATGGCTATGTTGCATGCAGCTTCCTTGGCTAGGCAGCCCTAAGTCCAAACAAAACCTCTGAACAGATGGCCCAGATATCCTTTTTTTATTTAAGTAAGCCTGAGCAGGAAGCTAACCTTCTGTCTCTTGTGGTGCCTCATCAAAAACAACAAAGCTTCCCCCTCCAGCTTTCCCCACATCATGACAGCAGCTGGATGACATTTTAGGTGAGTGCTGACCTTGGCTTGCCACTGCAAACAAGCCTTGCCTATCCTTTCTTACCTGACTAACGGTTAATCACACAGCATTTTCGGCACCTTCTCAGTTGAAATAAGACAGGGAAGACGTTTTGTTCCACAACGTAGGAATTGAACATGTATGGACTTTTGCATAATTCTCTGCTGCTTCTTAAAACACTAAGTTAGAAGTGTGTTCACCTTGTTGCTGTTTATGACTATGCAGTTGTTCTCTCCACCACAGAACATTATCACACATTGTAGTTAAACCAGATACTTTAATAATTCAGCATAGAGCAATTCATACCCATGTCATTTGAATCTCCATTTTAAATTCATGACAGTAACAACTAATTCAAGAGTGATGCTTTGTCCTACGGATAAGGACAGACTCATGCCTGCCTTGGAAGTCATTGCTATTTACAATCCTTCCCTCCTAAACTAGCTAGGTTGCTTGCTTTGAGAATAAGCATCTTGATGGCTGCCGTCTTACAACTTCTAAGTACAAATAAGTCTGTATTTCGCTTGGAACTCAATACAAATACCTTATTGGCAGATAAACAGCTTTTTCCTATTGCTTTATTATTTTGTGTTCTGCCACTTATTTCTGCTGTTACTTAGCTGCTCCTCTGAAACTGTCTTCAGTGCTGCAGTGGCTAATAGTGATAATACCATCACCACAGTTCCCACTACTCTCAATACTTTAAACCACCTAGGATAAGTAGGGAGAAGGGAAACATCATAATGTAGTGCTACCCCTAAGGACAGTACTAGCATTACTGCACCAACAGTGACATCTTTAAAAAGTAAGGCTTGCCAGGCAAGTAGAGGAGGAATTGTACTGTTAGCCAGGTTCAGCCAGTCTGGCTTGGCGGGGCTGTTTTCTGGGAGAGCGAACCCCCACCTCATTCCTCCTAGGAAAGAGACTGTTACGGCACCATACGTGACCTGAGCAAACCCCATCTCTGGGTAGTAGGTCCCTTGGACAGCCATCAACAGTGGCACAGAAACAAATGGAATTAGCCCGGCAAGGCTTAAGTAAAGGGCTGGCTTGGGAGAATCCTTTAGTGCTTTCATAGTTCGTTGCAAGATGCCCGAATCTTTGGACTCAGATTCTTTGGGGGTTTTTTTCTTGAAGAAGGGGAGAGAGGTGTGAAAAGCCTGGAGCTTGGTTGCATGTACTGATGCTGGGTTGAGGATTGAAGATCTTGAGAGAGGGCACCCATCTCTCTGCAGCTGGAGGCTGAGAGAAGACCAAGTTGTCTTATTCCTTCCATACAGCAGTAGTCTGGGACCGGTTAACTTCTGGAGCTGCAAGTATAAAACTTGTTCTGAACACTTTACAATGTAGGCTTACGGATCTACAGTTACCTAAACTACCTATGAAATATTGTACCAAGTAGTTTTCAAAGTCAGGTCACATCACAGCTGCCCTTCCTCTTAGTTTTCAGGTCTTTTTAACTTAACTGATTAAGCTCACTGATACAGCTTTCACAGGCTAGCTGATGAAGAGCAACTAGGCTCTTCACAGTGAGTAAGCAAACCTTCTTCACTACAAAAGGTTTCTGTACCCACCTATCCTTCCATCCATGCATGCGTTCTCTAGGCATTTAAGTTAAGATATATCAGTCCTTTTCAGAATAGAATATAAAATGATTAAGAGAAGTAGAACAAGGTCACCCCAGAAACTAGCTACTATCCACTTGCTACTTTACCAAAAAGAGAGAGGGGGGAAAAGGCCTTTAGCCAAAGCTAAGGTATTTCTTTTATAAAATCAAATGTTATTGCCTAAAAGCTGCTGTAGAAACTAGGCATTCTCTCAGAAAAGCTGAGTGATACACATGGCTACTCCAATGTGTAAGTCACCTTTTTTTCCGATGCTTCAGTCATACCTTTTGCTACTTTACTTTTCAAGAAAAATAGCAAAAAAGGCTTCAGAAACTTACCTTGAAAGGTGTGTGGAAGCAGCATCGTTGTATGAGATGAAACATAGTTGCTTTATCAAGGCCCTAAATCAGAAAAATCTGAGTTTCTCTTATGTCCAAAGTTAAATCACAGTCTAGACTTGTTTATCAGATGTGAGATTCTTACTGATGTATATTTAAAGATAAATATTACACGTACTCATTCTTATTTACCCACTACAGGGTATTTTGTTTCAGGTAGCTCTATGAACTGAAGTTCTAAAGTTGTAATAACTGTTACAAGAATGATTTCTAGTTAAAGAACTGAGCATCAGGAAACAGGTGACGGCTTCCCGTTTACGGATCATCTCCTTTTCATGGGATAAATGGCTGCATGCACATTACAAACGCCCAGTTCCTTACATGTGGGAAAAACGATCCTTAACCATCAAAGAGTGGAAACTTCATCGCACCCCCAAGCTGCAGGTAAGCTACCTGTAGGGGGGACAAAACTAACCGGGAAGGGCAAGCAGCTCGCCGGTGGACTTGACTCCCCAGTTCACGGTCCTGCTGCTCCGGGTAAGGGGGGCGGCTCCGCGCGTCCAAAGCCCCAAGCCGGAGAGTACGGGGCGAGGAGAAGCTGTATGTCCGGGAGGGATGCGGGTCCCACGGGGCCGAGGCGGTCACCCCGGGATGGCACGGAGGGGCCGCGCTGCTGATCGGGGAACGCGCAGGG